TGCATATGGTACAGTGCGGGAATAGGTACAGTGTGGGAATGGGTACAGTGCGGGATGGGTTCAGTGTGGGATGGGTACAATGTGAGGTGGGTACAGTGCGAGATGGGTACAGTGTGGGAATGGTACAGTGTGGGATGGGTACAGTGTGGGATTTGTACCGTGTGAGATGGGTACAGTGCGAGATGGGTACAGTGTGGAATGGGTACATTGCAGGATTGGTACAGTGCAGGATGGGTACAGTGTGGGATGAGTACAGTGTGGGATTGGTAGAGTGCAGAATGGGTACAGTGCGGAATGGGTACAGTGTGGGATGGGTACAGTATGGGTTGGGTACAGTGTGGGATTGTTACATAATGGGATGGGTACAGTGCAGGATGGGTACAGTGCGGGATGGGCACAGTGCGGGATGGGTACAGTGTGGGATGGGTACAGTGTGGGATAGTTACATAATGGGATGGGTACAGTGCGGGATGTGTACAGTGCGGGATAGGTACAGTTTCAGATGGGTACAATGCGGGATGGGTACTGTGTGGAATGGTTACAGTGTGGGATGAGTAGAGTGTGGGATGGGTACAGTGTGGGATGGGTACTGTGTGGGATGGTTACATAATGGGATGGGTACAGTGCGGGATGCGTACAGTGCGGGATGGGTACAGTGTGGGATTAGTACAGTGTGGGAAGGGTACAGTGCAGGATGGGTACAGTGCGGGATAGTTACAGTGTGGAATTGGTAGAGAGTGCAGGATGGATACAGTGAGGGATGGGTACAGTGCATGATGGGTACTGTGTGTGATCGGTACAGTGCAGGATGGGTACAGTGTGGGATGGATACAGTGCAGGATAGGTACAGTGTGGGATGGGTACAGTGCGGGATGGGAACTGTGTGGGATCGGTACAGTGCAGGATGGGTACAGTGCGGGATGGGTACAGTGCATGATGGGTACAGTGTGGGATGGGTACAGTGCAGGATGGGTACAGTGCGGGATAGTTACAGTGTGGGATGGATACAGGGCGGGATGTATACAGTTTGGGGATGGGTACAGTGCAGGATGGGTACAGTGCGGGATGGGTACAGTCCATGATGGGTACAGTGTGGGATGGGGTACAGGGCGGGATAGGTACATGGAGGGATGGGTACAGTGTGACATGGGTACAGTGTTGGATGGATACAGTGCGGGATGGGTACAGTGCGCGATAGTTACAGTGTGGGATGGGTACAGTGGGATGGATACAGGGCGGGATGTATACAGTTTTGGGATGGGTACAGTGTGGATTGGGTACAGTGCGGGAGAGGTACATGTGTGGGATGGATACAGTGCTGGATGGGTACAGTGTGTGTTGGGGTGCAGTCTGGGATTGGTACAGGGTGGGATGGTTACAGTGCTGGATGGGTACAGTGTGGCTTAGGTACAGTGCGGGATGGGTACAGTGTGGGATGGGTACAGTGTGGGATGGTTACAGTGTGGGATGGGTACAGTGCAGGATGGGTACAGTGCGGGATGGTACAGTGTGGGATGGGTACAGTGTGGGATGGGTACAGTGCAGGATATGTACAGTGCGGGATTGGTACAGTGTGGGATGGGTACAGTGCAGGATGGATACAGTGTGGGATGAGTACAGTGCAGGATGGATACAGTGCAGAATGGGTACATTGCGGGATGGGTACAGTGCGTGATGGGTACAGTGCGGGAGGGGTACAGTGCAGGATGGGTACAGTGCAGAATGGATACAGTGTGGGATGGGTACAGTGCAGGATGGGTACAGTGTGGGATGGGTACAGTGCAGGATGGGTGCAGTGTGGGAGGGTACAGTGTGGGACGGGTACAGTGCAGGATGGGGACAGTGCGGGATGGGTACAGTGCAGGATGGGTACAGTGCGGGATAGTTACAGTGTGGAATTGGTAGAGTGCAGGATGGATACAGTGAGGGATGGGTACAGTTCATGATGGGTACAGTGTGTGATCGGTACAGTGCAGGATGGGTACAGTGTGGGATGGATACAGTGCAGGATAGGTACAGTGCGGGATGGGTACTGTGTGGGATCGGTACAGTGCAGGATGGGTACAGTGCGGGATGGGTACAGTGCATGATGGGTACAGTGTGGGATGGCTACAGTGTGTGATGGGTACTGTGTTGGATGGGTACAGTACGAGATGGGTACAGTGCGGAATGGTTACAGTGTGGGATGAGTACAGTGCGGGATGGGTACAATGTGGGATGGGTACAATGTGGGATGGATACAGAGCGGGATGGGTGCAGTGTGGGTTGGGTGCAGTCTGGGATTGGTACAGTGTGGGATGGGAACATTGTGGAATGGGTACAGTGTGGGATGGGTTCAGTGCGGGATGGGTACAGTGTGTGATGGGTACTGTGTTCGATGGGTACAGTGTGGGATGGGTATAGTGTGGGATGGGTACAGTGTGGCTTGGGTACAGTGCGGGATGGGTATACAGTGTGGGATGGGTATAGTGTGGGATGGGTACAGTGTGGGATCGGTACAGTGTGGCTTGGGTACAGTGCAGGATGGGTACAGTGTAGCTTGGGTACAGTGCGGGATGGGTACAGTGTGGGATGGGTATAGTGTGGGATGGGTATAGTGTGGGATGGGTACAGTGTGGCTTGGGTACAGTGCAGGATGGGTACAGTGTGGCTTGGGTACAGTGCGGGATGGGTACAGTGCAGGATGGGTACAGTGTGGCTTGGGTACAGTGCGGGATGGGTACAGTGCGGGATGGGTACAGTGTGGGATGGGTACAGTGTGGGATGGGTACAGTGTGGGATGGGTACAGTGCAGGATGGGTACAGTGCGGGATTGGTACAGTTTGGGATGGGTACAGTGCAGGATGGATACAGTGTGGGATGAGTACAGTGCAGGACGGGTACAGTGCAGGATGGAAACAGTGCGGGATGGGTACAGTGTGGGAGGGGTACAGTGCAGGATGGGTACAGTGCAGGATGGATACAGTGTGGGATGGGTACAGTGCAGGATGGGTACAGTGTGGGATGGGTACAGTGCAGGATGAGTGCAGTGTGGGATGGGTACAGTGTGGGAGGGGTACAGTGCAGGATGGGTACAGTGCAGGATGGATACAGTGTGGGATGGGTACAGTGCAGGATGGGTACAGTGTGGGATAGGTACAGTGCAGGATCGGTGCAGTGTGGGATGGGTACAGTGTGGGATGGGTACAGTGCAGGATGGGTACAGTGTGGGATGGGTACAGTGCAGGATCGGTGCAGTGTGGGATGGGTACAGTGTGGGATGGGTACAGTGCAGGATGGGTACAGTGTGGGATGGGTACAGTGCAGGATCGGTGCAGTGTGGGATGGGTACAGTGTGGGATGGGTACAGTGAAGGATGGGTACAGTGTGGGATGGGTACAGTGCAGGATCGGTGCAGTGTGGGATGGGTACAGTGTGGGACGGGTACAGTGCAGGATGGGTACAGTGTGGGACGGTACAGTGCAGGATGGGGACAGTGCGGGATGGGTACAGTGTGGGATGGGTACAGTGTGGGAGGGGTACAGTGCAGGATGGGTACAGTGCAGGATGGATACAGTGTGGGGTGGGTACAGTGCAGGATGGGTACAGTGTGGGATAGGTACAGTGCAAGATCGGTGCAGTGTGGGATGGGTACAGTGTGGGATGGGAACAGTGCAGGATGGGTACAGTGTGGGATGGGTACAGTGCAGGATCGGTGCAGTGTGGGACGGGTACAGTGCAGGATGGGGACAGTGTGGGACGGGTACAGTGCGGGATGGGGACAGTGCGGGACGGGTACAGTGCGGGATGGGGACAGTGCGGGATGGGGACAGTGTGGGATGGGTATAACAGTCATAACATAAGAGATCTGTTCGCTGGTCTTTAATAAATGGTGGGCAGCTACAAGGACTTTACTTAACATAACAAAGGTTTAGCGGCAATGTTTACCACTCATGATATGTTCTTTGGCTAATTTTTTCCAGCCCATGATTCAGTAAAGCCAAATTGTCCATAAACCGAAGTTTACCAGTATTCATTTTCTTGAACTTGAAACCATCTTTGGATATAATATAAATAAATCTTACGGCTAGGAAGGTTAGATAATTCCATTAAAATTACCCCGAGATCATACGCTGCATTGTGCGAGAATGTATGCAAATATTTATATTAATTCCTGCACAACATGTTACACCGATGACAATAAGCCTCAAAATAATTGTTGAATTTTATAGCATGATCATGGTGACGGTGCTTGTCTCGAGCTGATTTAAATGTGATATAACACAGTTCACAAGGTTTTTGACGTCTGTGAGCTCGCCAATAGGTTCAATCCCCAAATAAATAGCTTTTCCAACAATCTCAAATTTCCTGTTCATAATGGTATACGATTATGCCACCGCTTTGTGTCACTTCTCGATCATTCCTTGGGAATTGGAGGGGTCAAATAGACATTCAGACTCATAATAAGCTGTATGAGAAGGTTCAAATGCTCGACAATAATTTTTGAACTTGATATTGTGATCTTCAAGGTAAAATTTCAATGTTTGTTTTACTTCACAAAACTGTTCGTGGGCTCGCATAGCATCAGGTGGCATATGAATCAAGCATCAATGGCAAAAAATATGATTCTGTTGTACGAAATTGAGATTGCTGACATATTGGTTGAAATCTTTAATGAGCACTAGTGCTGTCCCCTAGCATGAGCAATGGTACTTTAGGAGCTGCACGTTCCCTGCCTTTTCTTTGAAGAACACATTTGACGGCCATTTAATAATCTTTAAAACTTCGGGATAAGGAAGTATGACATTTACCTGCTGTGGTGGTGGAGAATTGGAGACAAATTGACTTGCTTCTGCACGGGAATCAGACTCCCATATCTGATGCAAGCAGTCCTCATTGTCAACTGGCTGGATACATTTGAGTAAAAAAGAATAATGATTTCAATAAATAAATAATAATATATAGGAAGTTTATAAATAGTGTAACTTTCTTGTAATAAATAATAACTATCAAGGACAATACTAAGAATTTGGACGTATTGTTGTTGCCTTCTGTTGTTGGTTTATGAGCTGGGCTGGTGCTGGGCTCTCTTCCACTACCTGCTCCACCAGGACATTCCTCCACTGGGCTGGTTCTGGGCTCTCTTCCACTACCTGCTCCACCAGGACATTCCTCCACTGGGCTGGTTCTGGGCTCTCTCCACTACCTGCTCCACCAGGACATTCCTCCACTGGGCTGGTTCTGGGCTCTCCTCCACTACCTGCTCCACCAGGACATTCCTCCACTGGGCTGGTGCTGGGCTCTCTTCCACTACCTGCTCCACCAGGACATTCCTTCACTGGGCTGGTGCTGGGCTCTCTTCCACTACCTGCTCCACCAGGACATTCCTCCACTGGGCTGGTGCTGGGCTCTCTTCCACTACCTGCTCCACCAGGACATTCCTCCACTGGGCTGGTTCTGGGCTCTCTTCCACTACCTGCTCCACCAGGACATTCCTCCACTGGGCTGGTGCTGGGCTCTCTTCCACTACCTGCTCCACCAGGACATTCCTCCACTGGGCTGGTGCTGGGCTCTCTTCCACTACCTGCTCCACCAGGACATTCCTCCACTGGGCTGGTGCTGGGCTCTCTTCCACTACCTGCTCCACCAGGACATTCCTCCACTGGGCTGGTGCTGGGCTCTCTTCCACTACCTGCTCCACCAGGACATTCCTCCACTGGGCTGGTGCTGGGCTCTCTTCCACTACCTGCTCCACCAGGACATTCCTCCACTGGGCTGGTGCTGGGCTCTCTTCCACTACCTGCTCCACCAGGACATTCCTTCACTGGGCTGGTGCTGGGCTCTCTCTTCCACTACCTGCTCCACCAGGACATTCCTCCACTGGGCTGGTGCTGGGCTCTCTTCCACTACCTGCTCCACCAGGACATTCCTCCACTGGGCTGGTGCTGGGCTCTCTTCCACTACCTGCTCCACCAGGACATTCCTCCACTGGGCTGGTGCTGGACTCTCTTCCACTACCTGCTTCACCAGGACATTCCTCCTTTGGGCTGGTGCTGGGCTCTCTTCCACTACCTGCTTCACCAGGACATTCCTCCTTTGGGCTGGTGCTGGGCTCTCTTCCACTACCTGCTCCACCAGGACATTCCTCCACTGGGCTGGTGCTGGGCTCTCTTCCACTACCTGCTCCACCAGGACATTCCTCCACTGGGCTGGTGCTGGGCTCTCTTCCACTACCTGCTCCACTAGGACATTCCTCCACTGGGCTGGTGCTGGGCTCTCTTCCACTACCTGCTCCACCAGGACATTCCTCCTTTGGGCTGGTGCTGGGCTCTCTTCCACTACCTGCTCCACCAGGACATTCCTCCTTTGGGCTGGTGCTGGGCTCTCTTCCACTACCTGCTCCACCAGGACATTCCTCCACTGGGCAGGTGCTGGGCTCTCTTCCATTACCTGCTCCACGAGGATATTCCACGTGGAGCTTAATAATAAAGTGTAAACCATAAAAAAGGGGGGTGGTAGGTGAAGCGAACACTCTTACGTATTCAGAGTTAAAGGGAAGGTTTTTCCTGAATGCTCTGTATTCCCTTCTCTGAGGCTGTGTGTCCCTATAATTGCACCAGAGGTGGACCCCATATATATATATATTATATATATATATATATTATATATATATATATATATATATATATATATATATATATATATACATATATATATATACATATATATATATACATATATATATATATATATATATATATATACATATTATATATATATATATATATGAACAAGACTTTCGTGTGCCCCAAAGAATGAGGTGATTTGGTAAAATGCTATGCCCAAGATTACTATCCGAGTGCCGGCGGTGGGGTGGTTCAAATAGCCTCGGCTATCACCTCATTATGTCCGGTCGTGATGGTCAAGTGGATTAAGGCGTCTTGTACATACCAGTTGCGTTGCACCTGGGAGTATGGGTTCGAGTCACTTCTGGGGTGTGAGTTTTCAGTTGCATATTGTCCTGGGACCATTCTAGGCTTGTTCGCATTTGTGTTCCTCACGTGTGCCCCAAAGAATGAGGTGATTTGTAAAATGCTATGCCCAAGATTACTATCCGAGTGCCGGCGGTGGGGTGGTTCAAATAGCCTCGGCTATCACCTCATTATGTCCGGTCGTGATGGTCAAGTGGATTAAGGCGTCTTGTACATACCAGTTGCGTTGCACCTGGGAGTATGGGTTCGAGTCACTTCTGGGGTGTGAGGTTTTCAGTTATATATATATATATATATATATATATATATATATATATATCATATATTAAGAATTTAATACCCTATAATACCACCTCACCCCATCCACCTCACTAAAATGTAGATATAACAAATCGAAGATTGTGTAAGTTCTTTTCAGTTGGTGTATGTGTAAGCTAAAGTCTTTGAAAATGTAATAAGTTTTTACGAAACGCGCTCAAGTGTCGCGTCAGACTAGAAATAAAAATGAATTTTGGAGAATTGATTTTTGAACTTACCACCAACAGTGAAAAGAAACGTACGAAAGATCGAGAAAATTCGTGTTAGAATTATTAATCTTACTTTTTCGGTCATATTTATAATATAATATATATATAATATATATATATATATATATATATATATATTATATCTTATTATATATATATATATATATATATATATATATATATATATATATATATTATCTATATAGATATATATACACCATATATATATATATATATATATATATATATATATATATATAATATATATATATATATATATATAACTATATATATATAATATATATTAGTATATTTTGGTAGCAGTCCTTTCCTGTAGACATATATTATTAAATATGACCGAAAAAGTAAGATTAATAATTCTAACACGAATTTTCTCGATCTTTCGTACGTTTCTTTTCACTGTTGGTGGTAATTCAAAAATCAATTCTCCAAATTCATTTTATTTCTAGTCTGACGAGACACTTGAGCGCGTTTCGTAAAACTTATTACATTTTCAAAGACTTTAGCTTACAACATACACAACTGAATAGAACTTACACATCTTCGATTTGTTTATATCTGCATTTGAGTGAGGTGGATCGGGTGAGGTGGTATTAATAGGGTATTAAATTCCTAAACACAAGATAGAACACGAAACAAAGGGTATTGAATGGAAGTGATTTGTAGAAAGCCTATTGGTCCATATTTCTTGATGCTTCTATATTGGAGCGGAGTCTTGAGGTGGGTAGAATATAGTTGTGGCATTAATTGGCTGTTGATTGCTGGTGTTGACTTCTTGATGTGTAGAGCCTCGCACTCGTCAAGCCGCCTGCTATCGCTGTATCTATCGATGATTTCTGTGTTGTTTACTAGGATTTCTCTGGCGATGGGTTTGGTTGTGTGAAGAGATTATATGTTCCTTAATGGAGCCCTGTTGCTTATGCATCGTTAAACGCTTGAAAGAGATGTTGTTGTCTTGCTATATACTGGGTTTTTTGGAGCTTACAGTCCCCAAGAGGGCATTTGAAGGCATAGACGACGTTGGTCTCTTTTAAAGCGTTCTGCTTGTGTCTGGAGAGTTTCTCATGAGTAGGCTGGCCGTTTTTTATGGTTTTATAGTAAATCGTCAGTTGTATCCTCTGATTTTTGACTGTAGGGATAACGTTTCTATTAACAATATCTTTCAGGACCCTTTCCTCCGTTTTATGAGCTGTGGAAAAGAAGTTCCTGTAAAATAGTCTAATAGGGGGTATAGGTGTTGTGTTAGTTGTCTCTTCAGAGGTTGCATGGCGTTTCACTTTCCTTCTTATGATGTCTTCGACGAAACCACTGGAGAAGCCGTTGTTGACTAGGACCTGCCTTACCTACAGAGTTCTTCGTCGACTTGCTTCCATTCTGAGCTGTGGCTGAGAGCACGGTCGACATAAGCGTTAACACACTCCTCTTGTACCGTCTGCACAGTCGCTGTTGGCATTTAGGCACATTCCTATGTTCGTTTTCTTAGTGTAGACTGCAGTGGGGAAACCTCCGCTCTTTTCCATGACTATTACATCTAGAAAGGGCAGCTTCCCATCCTTTTCCATCTCGTAAGTGAAACGCAGCACGGAACTCCTGCTCAAATGCCCTCCTTCAGCTCCTGCAGTTGTCTGACATCAGGTACCTGTGTAAAAATTGTCGTCAACATACCTGCAGTATATGGCCGGTTTCAAGTTCAATTCGACTAAGACTTTTTGGTCGATGGTACCCATGTAGAAGTTTGCAAAAAGGACACCTAGGGGAGAACCCATGGTGACCCCATCTACTTGCTTATACATGTGCCCATCCGGGCTCAAGAAGGGTGCCTCTTTAGTACAAGCTTGGAGTAGTTTCCTTAGGATGTTTTTCTGGTATGTCAAGAGGAGTGCAGGCCGGATCACGATACACTCTGTCGGCTATCATCCCGATTGTCTCGTCCACAGGTACGTTGGTAAACATTGATTCTACGTCCAACGAGGCCTCTTAATCCCTGTGGCCCGTGTGTCCCCGAAGTAAGTCAACAAATTCCTTTGGAGACTTCAGGCTGAAGGCGCAAGGGGACATAAGGAGTCAGCAGGCCGTTGAGTCGCTTCGCCAGTCTGTACGTGGGTGTGGGTATCTGGCTGATGATTGGCCGAAGTGGGTTTCCAGGCTTGTGTGTCTTGACTTTTCCATACGCATATCAGGTTTATATTCCCCAATAATCTTTGGCAGGTGGAGTCTGGATTTCTTGGCGTTCACAGTTTCGATCAGTTTGTTGACCTTTACTTTCAATTCGGCTGTAGTGTCCTTCGTTACCCTTTGGAATTTAGTTTGGTCAGAGAGAATGAGGTTCATTTTCGCCAGATATTCGTCTTTTTTTAAGAATGACATATATTGGCGACTTGTCACCTCTCCTGACAACTATCTCCTTGTTCTCATGAAGGCTCTTAGCTGCCGCTTTGAGCTCGGGGGACAGTATGGTGCTTCTGTAGTTGCCTCGATTCTTTCCTCCTTCTGCAATAAGTTCTGCTTGTAATGTATCTTTGGTAGTGACCTTCTTTTGTGTCTCGAGGTCGAATATGTCGTCCAACAGAATTTCCAACTCCATTCACTTCCATTCACTTCCATTCAATACCCATTGTTTCGTGTTCTGTCTTGTGTTTAGGATTTAATACCCTATTAATACCACCTCACCCCATCCACCTCACTCAAATGTAGATATAAACAAATCGAAG